ACATATACAGCTGAATGTCATCGGCATAGAAATGATAAGACAGGTCACTAAAAGACTGAATAATGCCAGCTAAAGGGAGCATGTAAAAAGAAAATAATAATGGACCCAAAACTGAACCTTGTGGAACCCCACAGGTTAGGGCAGCAGTGTTAGAGGAGAACCTATCAGTCCTAACAGAAAAAGTCCTGTCTGATAAGTAGGAAGAAAACCAGTCTAAGGCGGTGCCAGATATACCAGCCAGAACCTTCAGCCTGTTGAGTAGGATTTTGTGGTCGATGGTATCGAAGGCTGTGCTAAGATCTAGCAAAATGATCACGGAACAATTTCCTGCATCAGATGCCGTTAGTAGATCATTATAGACTCTTAAGAGAGCGGTCTGCGTAGAGTGCTGCTTTTGAAAGCCAGACTGAAAAGGGTCAAAAATCTGCAATCGGCATAGTAAGGACCTGAACTGATTTTCTACAATCTTTTCTAGTAATTTACTTATAAATGGCAATCTTGAAATAGGACGATAACTTCTAGGGGAGGTAGGATCTAGATTCTGTTTTTTTAACAGAGGGGTTACCTCAGCATGTTTAAAATAGGACGGGACACAGCCTTGCCTCAGTGAATTGTTGATGATTGATAGTAATGTGGGACCAATGCTGGTGAGAGTCCTAGACAGGACAGAGGGAGGTAATATATCTAAGGAGCATGATGAGGATTTCATTTTACCTATTACTGCAATTAAGTCATTGAGTGTGATTGGAGAAAAAGAAGTAAATGACCCGGGACAACAAGGGGCATCTTCATAAGGGGAGGCACTTGAGGAGATTTTGGATCTCAAGTCCATCACCTTATTTACAAAGTAATTGAGGAAAGTGCTACAGTCTTCGTCAGAAAGTAATACAGCATGCTGAGTTGGAGGAGAAACAATACTGTTGATAGTATCAAATAGAATTCTTGGGTTATTTTTATGACGATTTATGAGATTATTGAAGTAAGAGGATCTGGCCTCTTTAACTGACTCATTATATAAGTGAAGAAGTTCTTTGAAGTGTTCCTGATGGACAACCAGCCCAGTGGACTTCCAGAGACGCTCTGCTTTTCGACAGGAGCGTCAAAGACCACGGGTTTGATTATTTAACCATGGTGTGCAGGAACTAACAGTGCAATGACTAGTTTTGAAAGGAGCAACCTGATTAAGAATGGCAAGACAGTGTTCATTAAAAGAATTAATAAGGATGTCAACCTCGTCAGAAGAAGGTTTAAAATTAAAAAGAGAAGAAAACTTTAAAATGACAGAGTCATCAATACAGCGCCTGCGCCTAATAAAACTTCATTAATCAGTAAAGTAATGGGATTACTTTTTGGGGGAAGTAATCAGTAATTAGTTACTTTTTTCAAGTAACTTGACCAACACTGTTCAGCACAGACAAACAAGGTAATATTAGACTCACCAAGTGCCATGACCCTTCTGTGTGATTTTTTGCTGCACTGTGACATTTGGAGTGGGTTTAAAATTGATTTGCTTGGAGCATAACAAGTTATGATAGTATGAGGATACAATTTTGCCTGTGTATACAATTTGAGACACACTATCCCAGCTCTCTGTCTATATAATAAATCAATGTATTTTTAAGGGGT